GAGGTCGGGTTATAGACTTGGTAGTATCGTATTAAATTAGTAATATGTAGCAAAATCAATTTCGCTCGCGCGCGGTCCCTAAGCCCGTTTACGTATATCAGTGTCATCGTTTTCCTTCCTTTCAACAACGCAATGTCCATTTTGGAGTGGAAGTTTGTTGACGGTGGCATCTTTATTTGCTTCCTTTAAGTAGACTTTACTCCAGTAGGGTGGGGGTAGATTGCTGCAATTCAGGTGCAATTCATCGGACACTTCTTTTATCACCGCTAAAGCCTAAAATGTAAAAGAAAAAACAAATCAAACTTTTGGCGATCTGATAATACAACAATGGGATATGCGATAGACTTATCTCCACGTGGTGCGCCCTGGGCAACGTATACTCATTCGGAAAAAAGTCTATTAACCGGCAGTTGACTTCTTACTCCAAACCCCACTGCATGTCATATTCGACAAATTTTACAGTACCCATCTTACCTTTTCTCTCTGTCTTTATGTCTCTGTCTCTTTTACATCTGTGAATCATTATCTGTTTTGTGTCTGTCTCTAACATCTGCAAATCATTAATCCCTCCACTGTCTCTGCCTCTCGACTTTTTGTCACTTTGATGTTCCTCCTCCTCTCACTGTTCCCCATCCCTCGACTTTCTGTTACTTGGATGTTCCGTCTACCCCGAAGTCAGCTAAAGGGCTAATGATAACTATCAAAACACCTTCCATTCAAAATAAAATGTAATACAACAGTAAGTGGTAGCAATGATAATGATAATTGGTGTTAGAAACTTGGAGACTTAATTTCTCATCTCAAACTCTCAACCATATCGTGTGGATCAAGATGTGTGAACGCAAGTTTTCTATCACTGGAGGAATGATTTGTGAATTCGATCAAAATTTTAGTTCAAATTACACTTTATTACTCTCCCTCCCCCCCCCCTAGCTCCCTCCAATAATAATTAATAATAAATGTATTCCATTACTGGGCGTAAGATTTATACTACTGCAATGAACAAAGGATTAAATTAAAGCTACTTAAGCCTAATATTGGTTTGATCTTGGTATTAGGCAAATTGAAAATTTGATTCAAGTCATTTATGGCCGAAATTTTGAATAGATACAGTGCATTGGAATTACTAGGGGTTGCTGAGAATGAACCGCACAGAGTTCTGCTGACACAACAACTTTTTGCCATAAAATGAAAATGCTGTTAGAAGTGGGAAGACCATCCTCTAACTCCAACTCACCTTGAGACACTAACCCATCCGATAAGGAGCCTAGGAACTGAATCATGAATTTCCTATTTTTCTTCGAACATGGTGATTTTGACACCTATCAAACTACTATTTTGAAAATAATTGTTTCGTCATAAGTCATGGTGGTCATTTTCTTGAAATGAATAAATAAACCACATTTAGTGACACCTGTTTTTTCCCAAAAACCATAAACTGAAGGAAAGGACTTGATTTAGCACCTTTAATATCTAAACCGAAATAAAAATGGTCACTTGATATAATTTAATCGCTCGAAATATCACAATCTCCGTTGATAATATTTGACGCAATTTCATGAAAAGATGTCTGTGCACTTATATGTATCAATTTTTTACAAATTTAAACCGTAAACAGAGTGAAAAAAAACAACCGCATAACGATCGTCCCACGTAGGCTTTATTGATGAAATCACCTAAGAGGCCCATTACTAGTTTAGAAATATAATTATATCAGTGGTAATTTTTTAGGAATAAGTGAACCCTTGCTTAGTGAAATATTGCGCACTCTATTTTTAATAATAAAAAAACAAAACCAGACTCCTTATCGCACTGCTTGATTGCATTTTTTTTTGTAATTTAATTCAATTTCTGCCTACGATTTCATAAAGCCCAAAATTGCTTCTCCAACTAATATTTAAGATGTCTCCGAGTTGTAAATTTTCCAATGAAGCTGAGTAAATGGTTTTGGAATTTTAAATAAGAGTAAAATGATAATTGAGGCACTTTTAAGTCCGAAAAGTCATTGAGATATTTTAGTAGGTAGAGTAATTCACATTACCAGAAATACGCTAGGCTTCAAGCCATGCTTCCACGCACACAGAATATCTGGAGGAATGGAGAATCTAATGGACGCACAGCTACAATATTTGCCTTCGCATCAACCAATAAGTTAGCTATAAGTTAGGGAATTTCCAGACCAACAAAATTGATCCCTAGATATCAATATGCATCTCGTGCCAAGAAAAAGCTATAAATTCCAAATTCTTGAGGTGATTTGGTATTCGTTGCCTTGAGTAATATAACGCAAGTGAAACTTGCACAACCAAGAAGAAACTAAATTGTTTTATCCGAATCCTAATTAGAACATTGGGAATTACTTTGTCCTCTTACAATTCAATTGGATTAGAGTATTGACAACACTCTGCTTCCATGGCCTGATGTATTGATTATCGATTTTTGATAGCCACGGATAAGCAATTTGTCCCAAATGCATAAAAGTACACTTAGTTCATAAAATTATTTTTTACTAATAAATACGATCGATCGGTGTCTGGGATAGTTTGTCAAATATCGATTCGCCATCATATGGCAACAAAAGGGCTTAGTTGACACCTAATAATCTTTTGAGCATGATCAATTTGGAATCCCATTATCGGCAGATTAAAAATAGACATCTGGATTCATTGAAGGCAAAAAAACGTGTTACCTACCCATTGACCGCATGCAACTAAAAGCCTTCGAAATGTCATTCAAATATCTTTAAGGATTATAAGAGAGGTAACACTATTCATAACTCTGAATCCAAACGAAATCCTTGAAGTCAACTCTCTCTCCCCCTCTCTCTTCACGCTTATTAACTCACGAGAAAATGAAAATTAAAAGCCGTACAGTGTCTTACGTCATTGATATAATCTTAATTGGTCAGTGGGGGGATCTATTGAGTTTTTAGTACAAATGAATCTTGTTTGCCAACTAGAGTACTTACACAAAGTTGACGAAAGTTTTAGAACAGCATTTCATCTAGGTCTCTAAACGTTAATAAAATTCTTGCAGGAGTAAAGGGAGACTCACAATTACGTGAAATTCCCTCTAATTTAACTGCATTCTTAAACCAAATACCTCTGAGTTTATAATTAACAGTATTTAGTTAAAAGATTGAAGCTTAAACACAGAAAGGAGGAGAGAAATTTGGCTCTTAAAATAATAAGGAAATAGCACCTGAGCTACCATATTAAGTTGCCATGGAAAAGAAAATGTTTACGTTTCCGTAAATTACAAAATTTGATAATAACTTCGTCAGATTTCGCACGTGAAGAATTAAAATTAGCTAGAATTTAACACTGATAAGAAAATGTGCCAAAAATTATAAATAAGAAAAGATTAAAGAAATTAATAATTACATCGTCGATTTAAAAATAACGTGTTCATTGAAATGCAGGTGACTTGAAGCCTCTAAAAAGATTTTTGCACCTCAAGTAATAGCAAAAAAAGCAAACTTGAAATTTGTCGGCCCTCTATGAAGTCCAAGAATGGCAAGAGATCATTGCAGAGGTCTATATTCAAGTCGACTTGAAGGTTGTCAAAAATTGTCGATCAAAAATTATGACCACAATGGAGTCTTGCGTTATTTACACCGACGTAAGCAAATATACATCTTCCCTATTTGTTAGTTTAAGTTAAGAGCCACTTCTCAGTTATTTGGTATGTTTAATTATAATCGAGATAATGATTACTTTTACCGGTTAAGCAATCCAATCAACTGAAATAAATAAACACTATTCAATAAAACAATGAAAAATTCTGGACTTTATATGTTCCGAAATATTGCGTTGACTTTAAAAAATGCTAAGCGCGAAAAACAGTGTGAATGAATCGAAGTGATTGAGTGAATTCCAATGATCAACAAGTATGCATGTTAGGAGATTATTCGTCAAAAGAACAAATTGCACAACAACAAAAAACGATGAAATCACACCGAGAGATGCAGTGCATACGTACCGAGAGAGAGAGAGAATGAGTGAGACAGAGAGAGAGTGAGAGATTCTTAAGGGTAGAAAGGTGGTTTCACCTTGCTCTTACTCTCTAAAAAGCACACAGCTACACGTAATGAGCTCGCCAAGCACTCGGAAGAATGAGATTATCTTCTTGAACATTTGCATGCCGTGTAGAACTAGGCGAAATCAGTATTGTCCAGGGATACTTCACCTCGTGCCACCATCTCTCTGCCTAAGATGACGAATTACTAATAAGACCACCCCCCATAAAATAAAAGAAACAGCGAAACTTGGATGTATTAAAATCAATCACACCTTGCAAATAAAAGAGGAAATTGGATTACATGTCTCTTTTTTTTGCTAAAAAGGTTAGCTCCTAATGAATTTGAGAACTGTTGAGAACAACGAGTGGATAGATCAAAGCGAATGTATCAAAAAAATCTTGGGAGGTAGCATTAATGGAAGGCTTTCGAACTAAATCACTTGTAGTCGATTTGAAAAAAATAAAAAAGTATTGATATAATTGGACTATAGTTCTAATAAGTGTTTCACATATTATCTCTATTGGCTAATGTGGACAGAGTAACGATGTACTGGTTTTTCAGCGAATGAGTTTCGTTTCTGTGGTCACAGATTTAGCAGATGAGCAGGCAAATTCTGTAATTCAGTTAACAAATATTTCAGTTAAAATAAAAAAGGCAAAATTTTCGAGGAAATATCGCTTTCAGAACAAAGATTAAATCAAACGATCTTTCGAGTAAATAATAATAACAAGCCCCGCAAGGAGTCACTTTGAAATCTTAGTAGTAAACACCCTAAATGCCCCAGTATTTATTTGACAAAAAGTATTTAATTTTAATTTAACTTCAAAGATCGATTTTCTAAAGTTTCAATTTTTTTATAACCTGGTCAATTGTCCGCGTTATGCAGCCGAAAACTACTCAGATTCCGAGAAGAGGCAATAAGAGGGCTATTAGTAGAAAAAAACTTCTCACTTGTAAGAAAATAAAAGTACTTGTCGATGAGACATGAATTGGCAGTGAGGGATCCCCTCAGGTGGCCTTTAACCAACCAAGTCTGAGCGTAAAAGTACAGAAATCAATAGTTCAGTTCATGAGGTATGAACCTACGAGTACATTTAAAGTGTTTGATTCTGAGCCTCACTACAAAATTGAAATGGAGGCTTAAAATTTAGCAGAAATTTCCAATGGATGCACCAGAATATATATATTTTCCCAATTTTGTTCTCAAAGGTTCACAGATAAACAGTCTCATTGCTCTCATAGGATTATGCAGTAATACGTCATAGGATTCTATTTTGAATGAAATCCACTGTGCATTGGAAATTTTAGAAAGGCCTATTGGAGGTCTTCTCATTCCGATTACAATTGCAAGAAAGTAGTCATGCATTAAATTGTCATGATCTGGCATTCAATTAAATGAACTGGCCAACAACAATTGAATGTCGCGACGTGCACTCATCAGGTAAATAAGACATCAAAAAATTAAAACAAAGTTTTATTGGACATTAAGAATTAAATTAAATCATTTACTAGGAGATTGATAACTCAATTCTTCCATAATTCGTAAGAAGGAGTACTCCTGGTGACATGACAGCATTATATTCCCATATTTGACAGATATTTAATGTTCTAATGGGGTATTTTTTAAACCTTTTTGGAGTCCTAACGCTATTCCATGGTTAAAATGTAAGGAAGCTTATTGAATTAGTGTAGGTAACAAAAATTTAATAAATTTCAGCATTTATTATAATCTAATCAATCGGAAATTAGCCCTTCTTTGCGTAATTAGATCAAACGGATTGGGCTATTCTCAAAATTTAAAAATAGACACAAAAGGCATGGCTATTTCATTGGCCAAAATCTCTATTGAAGCAGCATTTGGCCTTAACAGAACTACATGGGCGTGTCCACACAATGCTTCATTTAAGGGTGTACTCAATCCATAAATTTCTTAGACGAATGATCTGAATATTTTACCAGTAGTGCAAGATTTAATCACAACTCCATTAACACACAGAACAGCAGAAGATTAGCACTAAGGTGGTGCGTTTAAACTAAGCCTATTTTTTGCATTTGCAAAAAAATCCTACAATAATTACATTGAGGAGAGTTGTGGGTGGTAGCACAAATCTCATATAAAAATATCCAAAACTGACTACAAAAGTTTACAAAAAAAGAGGGGAAAAATTCTGAGGAGTATGTTTGAAACTTATTGTCTCCTTTTGTCAACCCCCCCCCCCTCCCAAGTCCAATTAATAAATGCAGTGCGTTACCAACACTTCACTTGAGTAAAGGAAAGTGATCATTCGAGCACTTTCCTGAGAAACTCGCATATTTTCTGGTCAGAAGTAGACAGATGGTTCAGACAACCACACCACTGGATGACTGTGTAACGATGAGCATTGGTCGCATGACCTCTGATATTGAAGATAAGCACGTAGAATCACCGGACTACCGTGTGTGCGTGTGTTTTAAATTACCATTAAATCTTTTATTACACGGTAAATAAGACAATATTTCAATTGTCGTCTTGAAATAAAAGGGTATTTTGGTATTGCATGGAAATAGAGAAAAGAAATTACTTAAACTGAAATGAAATTGACGAGGAAAGTTCCATTAAAGCACATAATTTTTTATGATTTGTCATGATTAAATAAGGTAAGAATTAAAATGAAAATAGGATTGCAAGGATTTCTAAAATATGCTTTAAACAATCTAATATTAGCCTAAGTTGGCCCACAAGATACACCATGTTTAAATTAACTGCCGCAACAACATTTAAATTACTTCCTAGGGGGCCATAAAATAATCTAAATTAGCATTAATTCAAGTAAAATAACGAGAATTGGTCATTCTTCCACATAAATAGCAATGGTTGTAAACATCCAAGTGTCATAAGAATTGAAAACGTATAATTTTTTGCATTTTTGAGCTCTTGAATGTAACTACCATTACTAATCATTCAAGTTCACTCCTGAGCTCTCTAAGAGAAAATTCTTGCGGAAAGCATTGATATTTTTGGTTTCGCACTGAAAAAAAACACAGAAAAGCACCCTTGAAAATAAGCTAATTAAAAGGATTCAAGAATTTGAGTCAATACAGCACCAATAATTTAGAGTGCGAAATTTGCAGGGAATTAGTTAAATTGTAGGATATCAAATTTTAGTTATCACACGAAATCATGGACTAGAATTGTTAAAATTGAGGCAATTTTTTGGCCCTGTTTGATCATTAACTCCTCCTGATATTTTATTTGAAGTAAAGCAGAAACACAATTTAGCAGGTAAAAATTAAATAAAAAACTCGAGATCTGAAAGTGGTCATCTTATCAAAATTCATAAATCAACTGAACCTTTAGTAACGAAATCTCCTCGTACTTTAATAACAATTAACCGCTCAAACTAAAACGTATTTAAGCTGGAATCGACATCAGAAATCGATTCAGTATCAGCAAAACATAATAATTGGAATAATTTTTATCGATTTATTTAAGATTGTAAAATCGGCATAACTCCGTTACTTAGAGATCTTTATTGATCATTAACACACAACCAAAAAGCCCCCCCCCTCCCCTCCCCCAATTGATTTTCAGAAAATGATTAACTTACCTTATCAAGCATCTCTTTGGTGTGTCCCGCTGAGATACAGAAACGACATCGCGAAGTTAGGAGGGCAGTGGCAGGAAAGCCAACAACGACAACACCCAAACCACGATCTAAGCAGAGCCTTGAGAAGGCGATCAACTTCCCAGGCATATAGAGAATCATTGGAACGACAGGACTATCCCGGTTGCCATAAATGATCAGGCCCATCTGGTGCAGATGAGCTCGGAAGTAACGTATGTTCCAGGCCAATTGTTTGAGCCTGAAAGAACAAAAGTAATCGATAAGGGCATAAAGCTAAATTAAAAATTAATGGACATCTCATGATGCCTTTTAAATTAAAAAGAGGGAATAGTAAGACTTAATTCTTCGTATTTTTTCCTAGTCAAGCTGTTGGGTGTTGTGCATCATCAAACGGATTATGAAGATGTATTTCAGGACTTATTAATTTTCGGTGACTACATGTGTGGTTTACATTTCATCTATCCGCCATCTGTCTACCACCGCGCTCTAGAAAATCCACCCCCCCACACACACTTTTCTCCTCTTATAGGAAAAAAAACAATTGTCATAACTTTTAATGAGATTCAAACCTCACTCTTAGAGTCACATTTTCCAATTAGTGCATTGTGTTGGTTGGACTGCAATCTGTATGATGAACTAGAATAATAATGACCTCAATGTGCAATTGTAATCGAAAATGCATCTTCCCAGTAAATCGGAGACTTTAGTGAAACTTTGTTGAAAACCTCCGGATTAATAATATTTTTGCAAAAAAATAGCCCCAGGTCCTGTGAGGAAAGTACCAGCAACATCAGATACAGATGGAGGTAGGATGAGGAGAAGGGAGGGGATTACTCCCGAAACTCTTAGTTCCACCAAGCAAAATTAATCATTCTGATTTGCCGTTTGGATAAGGTGGTGTTAATGATAACAAAGACAACCATCAAGATCGCCATCATTACTTGGATCAAAGCTGTGGTCTATACTTCCACCTCAGGGCTCATTTTTATAACTTTGGACAAGTAATTTAAACTAAAGCAGTCATTGGGCATAAACCTTACGGCAAGAAAAAGATCTGAAAAAGTAAATATTAAACTGAGCTCATGATCAGTATACTCGGTGAATATGCACTAAACGATACCGAGCCACATTTTGGTATCAAACCTTATCACCTGAGATACAATAGTCAACGAAGTTTACACAACACGAGTACTCGCCTGCAGGTATGATTGATATAGTATGAAGTGATGTACTTTAACTATCAGGTTCTACTTTTATTACTAGTACACCTCTTCCCTTGCC